CCGACTAACATTATTTCGAAGAGATTTAAACGGTCTGTGGCTTGGAACCGGTTTTACGTCGCGCTTGCCTTTAGTCGATGGAATTCCTTTAAGTACCGTTCGGAATATTGCATCAGGAGCCAAGGTCATTATGAGTGTTCTTCCACGAATTTGTCCCTCGTTTTTGAATCGCGATTCGTGTATCTCAGCCACAGTAGGAGGGAAGGAAGGAAAGAAAAGAAGAACGTGACGACGTAACGTCTACTAATTGCCGCGTCCACGCTTTTACTTTCTAACAGAGGGAGTCGTTAGGGCGACGTAACATTTCAAAGTGTTGCGTTGTGTAACGGAAAATTGAAGCGTCTCGCTCGATCGCGCTCCGTTAATCTTTTCATCCATCTCAAAATTCCCCTCCTGATCTTCACTTTGTCACCTTTCCTTCGCAGCGACCGATTTCCACTTGCTAGAATGCGCGCATATTTCGGTTAAAAGTAGCGCGTCAAACCGCGAATCGACCTTGATACGTGATTCCAATATATGGAATATTCCAAAAGGAGAGGAAGTAAAGGGTGATGTTTGCTTTCAGAACGTGCAAAAATCGAGCGGATCTAACGACACGACGACGTCGCACAGCGAGAGCAGCACGGTGTCGGCTAGTGCGACCAGCGCGACGAGGATCGAGAACGAGAGCGAACGCGAGGAGGTAGCTGCCAGGGAGAACGGGAACGCCAACAGCGATTCGACGACGTCGACGACGACAGGACACATGCACGCGACTGGGAACGGAAACGTGGCTGGAAACGGCAGCACCGGTAGCGACAACGGCAACGGCGAGCCGCGGCAACAACAACAACAACAACAACAGGGTTTAAATCTGAAGATGAGCGCGAAAGAACTTCGAGCTCAGCTGGCTGCGCGCAAGAAATACGATCCGAAGAAAGAATCGATCGGCTTCAAGGACAAGTTCGATATCGTGCAGAAATTATAACCGGCGCGCCATTCCTCTTCGTCTCGTTCGATAGTCTTGTCGGCTATGTTGCGCGGTGCTCTTCCTTATCTCGGTATTTTGTAGTCGCGGGGGGCCGATCCAATGGCGATCGAACGGCCAAACGTTGCGTCCTCGTGCTTGCTTGGTTGGTTGTAGGCGGCGCGAGAGACGCGTCGATCTACCACACACACGTGCCTCCTCTTTTCCGCGTTTCGAGAAACTTTCGGAACTCGAGACTTACTTACTTCACTACCCTATCACGTTCTTCCGTGAATTTTTGCGAGAAAAGTTCCTGAATTACACTCGAAAGCGTGAACCAATTCGAAGGCATTCCGAATCGATCGAACGCTCAAAGTTTCTTGTTCCACTAGGCTACACAGTTACATACAATGTCCCGCTACCTAGAGCGGGCTTTGCGCGCTCCAAGGACGATCACGACGACGCGGGAGAAAGTGTACGACGTTGCGCGACGTGTGACGTGCGACGCGCCGCGTCATCGCTAATTTCTCTTATTTCTTATCAAATTTAGGATATCGCTAGTAGCTCCCTCATTGTACATTCGAATAACGCATACACTTTGTCACGAGCAGTAATTGATAAACACGGCCCCCGACGTTTTACCGTAAATACTTCGCCAACGACGGTTTCCAACGGATTATGTAACTTAAGAAATGTAACAGCGTGCAAAAACGCGGCGATACAATAGGTGGGAAGGCCCGTGCGAGTTTCTTCCACGTTGTTCGATGGTTCTAGGCGACGTCGTACGTGTACGACGAGCCGAGAGAATCGCAGGACTCTGCAGGAAACTCGGGCGGGACTGTCTAACCCGACATTGCTAAATATTACGACAACCTGTTGTGCAACCTTCAATTATCGTCGTCGTGATCCTTTTGCGTCGTGCTTCGTACCTTACGCGAAAACACATCTGGAAGAAACTAGTTGTGTTGTTTTCTTTTCCTTTTTTTCTCCGTTTCTTTCGCACGATATGTATGTATATGTATGTATACCAACATACACGCGCGTATCGTCTTGCGATTATTTCTCGGGCCATGTTCAATTCAATACCGATCTGCTGCGACATGCGGAAACGATTATTACCAGTTTTGGTAGAACGTTGAAAAAGAACAGAGAGAAATTTGTCCTTGGTTTTCCCACATTTTGTTTTTTTTAAACGAGAAGCATTGCGTCACGCAAATTCAGCTTACAAAATTTACAATAACGATTCATTTTATCCGAGCGATGATCGTTGATATATTGCATTTAATATTCTAATCCGTATGTCATTCCACGATTAAAATACGATTCTTTTCGAATAACGTTTTGTACGTTATTATGCGTCTATTATCTGAGATAGAATCGGCGCGATAAGGCGCTTAAGTAACAAAAGCGACGACTAATTTCCATTCGAAATTCGACAAAATATACTTGTTTTGTTTTATTCCTAACGAGCTTTTTACTTCTTACGTCGAAGCTGTTGGCATTTTGAACGACATTTTACGTGTACAGAAAAGGTATCTCTTTACGATACTTTTCATCGACTTTGTAATTGAAAAGTACGACGTTTACTTTGATTATTTTGTGAAATTTCGTTTAGTCTAAGGATTTTGCGTATTGAAAATCGAATTCTCCGATATATATGTTTTTCGTTTGACCTAGCACTTGTAACGAGTATCGAATCAATTGAAATTTCAATTCGATCGTAAGCTGCGATTGGCGATACCGTGCGCAACAGAGACCGATCGATCACCGTCCTCGTTTAAGAGAGAGATCGAGTCACTTCCGAGCTGTGATCTATCGGTCTATGTTCCAGACCGAACGAGTTATGTAAATTCTCTCGTATTTTTTTTTCTTTCGTTTTGTTGCAATACTTTTTTCGAAGTTCGATGCATAAGCGTATTTGTTTCTGTAAATATTAGATATCTGGGCGTCAAGGTCGGTGCAACGATCACTGTTTCGCGTAACAATTAGTATCGGCAGGTGTCGATAAATTACGCGTACGAGAGAGGTCAAAAATGAAATTAATACATATATCGTTGATCAGCTGGAAAAGGGAACCTTACTTCGTAAGACTTTAAGAGGGAGGAGGTGGTAACCTTTCTGAAATTCGAAAGGTTTTCACGTGAACCATTGCACCGATTCTTTGAAATGTATATAAATGTTCTGCATAAGGACTAAATACACACGTTGTTACGATTATTGCACACGTTCAACGTACTTTGTAAGCATATCTTTAAGCATTATGTTTGACGACAAGACTTAGTTGTACGTTACTCATCAAATTACTTTCATTTTCGTACATCTGTGTATAAATAATATTGTACGTACCTTTTTCTTGCTCTTTTTTTTTTTTTCCATAACCTTGTCGTACCCGTTCTCTTTTACGTTCGCAACCGTCTTTCGCGCAATGAAACGATCACGTGTTTTTATTCCACGTTCGCGATTCAAAGAACCGCGGTCGAAAAAGAGAGAAGTAGGAGCGATTTCACCTAGTAAGTGGCGCCACGTAGTTGCCATTTCTTATCTCGAATTTATCGATCGAGGGTACAGTTCAATGTTGGATCGATAATTTTTCAAATCGATACATCACTTTTTCCTTTTGCGCCATAATTCTTGCTACAGTTATATTTACGTCTAAATAAAATTGCCTCAAGCAAGATGTAACGATAATTTGATTTTTTTCGTGAGCCAGTGAAACGTCGATAAAACGATTATTTTGCTATAATTAATATCATATTGTAAAGCATTCTTCCCGTTTACGTATGCCTTACTGAAATATCACGGAGCTTGTTAACTTGCTGGAAGGAGGACATGCTGCGTTAATCGAAATGTTGACAAATTTTTACGATATTCGGTAGGAATTACGATCTGTTATATTTTTACAGAAGCTCCTTTTACGATTACGTTCGTTATCTATCGTGGAAATTCTGTTGGTATACGTTTCCGGTGCTTTGTATCGTGAAAGAATTATAGCAAGATCGTTTGGTTTACGACAGAAGTGATCGATGGTTACATAGTACCAAACGTCGCATATTTTTGGGACGGTGCAACGACAGATAATGCCTTGTAGCACAGTGGCAGGGAAAGGAAAAGACATCGAAGACGTTACCGGTAAATTAAGAGCGTCCAGGTGAGTCGGCGATACGATGAAAAAGTGGTGGAAGATAGTTAAGGTAGATTCTCCGGGTGATAAGTGGAAGAGAGAGAAAGAAAGAGCGCGACGAGATTGAGCTCAGCGCGAGTGAGAGAGAGAGAGCGTGAGGCGGACATATATGGTTGCGGGGTCCGAGAAGCTCTCAGGTTACGCCGACGGCGCTAACCGTTTTCACGATGATGTTTCCTCTCCTTGTTTCTCCAACCTATCCATTCTATCTCTCCCGAGCTCTCTCTCTCTCTCTCTCTCTCTCTCTCTTCTTTCTCGAACTCGCGATACACTCGCTCTCTCCATCTAAGCTTCTCTACGGTCTTTCTCTTTTCTACTTGTTAAAGCGTGGTCTCCTTCGTTCACAGGCAAGCAACGATCTTGCTCTCCTTGTCGCACCACGACCAAAAATACCGGTGGTCGTGCAGTCATGGGTGAAAATGAGAGGGAACGACGAAGACGCTGGTCGCGGGACAGAGATGGAACGAAGAAGCGTGGCGCGTCTTCGCGATGGTGCGCCAGAGAAGGGGCGAGGTTCTCGTTATTTCGAGATTATCGGGGATTGCCTGCTTTTTGGAATCGTGCCGATCGTCTCGTCCACTCTCGATATCGAGTCGACTTCTCAATCTCGCTCTGCATTACCAATAAGTATACGACCGTGACAAATCATTCTTTCCGACGCTTTGCTTTATTAACAGACCTCTCGGACAATGCAGAGACAAATTTTAGTTACATATCTCGAAATCACCTAAACAGCTATTATCTAATTATTGTTATTGTTGTTGTTCTTTCTCCGTGTAAATATGTTAATCTCGTTCTCGCGAGAGAACGACAACGATAATTTGCAAGGAAGTAGAGTGTATTGAAAGTTGAGGAGCATGTACATACGAAGGTTGTACAGCCTGAATGTATCAGAGGATGTATCGGTTTGTTGCTTATCTGTTATAGAACTTATTGTCCGATTGTAGGGAGCATCGTTAAAGAATACGTGTCTGGGATATTGAGTAACCGCGTGGGAGTTTAGTAGTCTAAGAATAGAGGGGCAAGAGATGCAGAATCGCAGAGTTTTGATCTCCGGGTTTATCATTTTTGCGCACACGTAAAAACGAATTTCGGGAACCTGATTCTTTCGGTTAGGCTAGGTCGAACGGGGGAGAGTTTATTTGTCGAAGCTGACTGAGGAGTTGCAGCCGAAACGACCATGACAACATCGATCGATATTTCCAATTTTCTTTCTTCGCGAATCCTCACGTTCCTTATCGTTCCTTCTCTCCTCCGTTTCGTTCCGCAAATACCTTCGTCGATAAAGTTTTCACGCCGACAACTGCTGTTTAGGAGTTTTCTCGCGAATACATTTCCCTGGTCTTTTCCCACGTTCCCGATAGCAACGTTAACTTTTGATCGTTATGACATCCCAGGATGCTCGCTGCAGGCGTTCGCTTTGTTTCAACTCGATACTATCCGTTGTTGACTGTACGTGTCGCTCTCCAACGCGTTACTCCAAGATGCAATTTCTCCCGAAATAGATATCAGCTCGCTAAATAGATCCTTCGATACACGCGACAAACATTCTGCCGGCACTTTTCTACGGTATACTCTTCTCGCTGTAGCGCCAAAATTTCTAAATAGTACATCGACTTGTTTCCAAGCCAGCCGCTATGTACACATTGCAGCATTCGCATTGGAAGAGTTTGCGTCATCTTCTGTCCCTTGGTCGGAATACACGTTCGTTGACAGAAAGTAACAAACATTGAAGTAGAAATAGTTCCGAAGGACCCAACTCGAATAAAGAAGACAATGCAGAAAGGTAAGGTTGCCGTGCGTATTGGACGTTGTTAGTCGTTGCACGAGTTTAGGCCCCGCATTTTACGTAGCGGGAAGAAAGCAGGTGCTCGAAAAGGAATTCGGAAATTGTCGAGTGGAGTAAGGGGGGATCGTTTGTAATACGGGGCCGTACGCATAATAGGGGCCGGTATCTTGTCCTGTCCTCGCACTCATAACATCTATTTCCAGAACGGACCAACGACTAAGTTTAGATCGGCTGTTCCATATACTCGAGCCATTCGCCCACTCGGGTCCACTCGCTCGAAGAAAATCTGATAAACGAAGAAACAGCAACTTTGATCGTCTCCTCTTCCTTTATCCTTGACTCGATTTCTCTTATCGACGGCATACCAAGGCGGCACGGCGCCGAGACGCACAACTAGATAGATACGCGCAGAGTCGGCAATCGAACGATAACAACAGCATCGGTGCTTGTTTGGTGACACCGTGCGACGAACATCCAGAGGGAGGAGATAAACGCAAGTTGCGGTGCACTGTATTTAGGTCGACAAGCTTTTCAGCCGATTTCAATATTTCTGGTCTACCTATCCTATATCGTCGGATATATTTCTAGGATGTATCATAATTTGTGGCAATCGAGAGAAAGCAACCGTGTAACGAGGCAGAGGAGACGAACGGTCTGTACGTAGGTGTATAATAAGCCGGCAGACTCACGATTATACATATACTTTTGTTTTTTTCATATTTTTCGTGTTTCAAGGTAAAAGTAAAGCCACCTAAAAATATGTCAAGCACAAAGCGCGAGAAATTTTAGCAGCGTGGTTCATTCGCTCGGTAATGAACGCGTGACGCGTTACCTCTCCTTCTCGGTCGTACGTCAATGTTGGAATGCCGTGTGACACATCGGACACGGGATAGAAACGTCACGAGTATATTCTATCTTTAATAACGTAAACGGTGGAGGTGCCTCGTTATTCTTAGTTACGAATTGCAAAGATGTAACGGCGTTCCAGGCTCTCGAGGAAAGCACGTCACGGACGGAAAAGCGTTTGTCGTCACGCGCGAAGCGTGTCAGCCATGGTCGATTCATCGGAATTAGTAGGAGAACGCGATGCAGTTTCGAAACTCGAGCACCGTCTTGCTCATCCGCTGAAAATTTCTCTGGCATTTTTCTTCTTCGAGTTGGGTGTTTTCGTTTCCGCGAAAACGCGAAATTTACGCAGCCGCCTCAACTTGCTTATTTGTCCACGGTGAACCGTCTACCCTTTCCTATAAATCTCCCGTCCGATTCGTATCGACGGTCACTTCTGGATTATTCCAGCGAAACTTTCGCGTTCGCTTTAAGACACGTAGATGGGCGTTTGCCCCAAGCAAACTTAGCAAAGCGTAATCGCCGAGTCATCGTGCTCGCTCGATGATTCCATTTACCTACGGTATTCAAGGTCGCGGTTGATCTACGGCGACGAAGAAGAAGATATCGGAGCGATTCGATCGATCCTCGAATACTCGATATCGGATTCGCGACGTGTGAAACAGTGGAAGCGCGAGTGTTCGGGTCGTTAGGTATAGATTCTAATACGCAAAGATAGATTGAGCGGTGAGGGGCGATCGTGTATATTTAGAAAACTGCTCGGCTTGCCAGAACCGAGAGAGACTCGTATCTCGACACGGTGCGGCGTGCGAGATTTCTCCCTCGAACTCTTCCTCTTTATCTTTCTTGCGACGTCTCGTTTATTGCGAACCGAGGACATATTGTAACGTTTCTTCTCGCGCATTTTCCAATTTGACATTTCTCCCTTTACGCACGTTTCCCTCGCGACCACGTTCAACTTTGACAAACGGACTCTACACTTTCTCTCACGATCGGACGGTAACGTGTAATCGATTCGAATACTAGCATTTACCCCGGTAAGATTGGTTCCGCGAGGGAAGGAGGAAGTGTGCGGTAAGTATAAACTGCATTAGTCAGACGAGAAACGTAGGAAATTCGAGCAAAGATATCGATACGGTGTACTCGATCCAAGTTTTGAAAGCCGGCCAAAAATGTCTCACAGAAATTTGAATACCTCCCAAAGCTAAGTGTCTCTCGAGGAACCTAGCGATTTATGAATTAAACGCTGTTACGCGTGAAATTTCATCACCGATCGTACTTCTGCGAAATCACCGAGTGAAAAAAAGAACTAAGAAACGTCGATCGATGCTACCGAAAAACTTATTTTCGTCGAGAACACTGGCCAAGACCCACTTCTTCTTCTTCGCACGGTGTTCTATTTCCCACCTCCGCTAATATCTTTCTACTTTTGTTTCAAAAGAGGAGGAACGTAAATCTCTACGTAACTTCGCCGGCTGTTAAGACTTTCGGCGAGTGAAACGAAGCCCGTGTACATACTTTGTCACGTCTGGGAAGTGTGTACGCAACACTGTAAGGGAAAAGGCACGTAAGGTTGTTACTTGAGCATTCTAATTTCGACCCGAGGACGTCAACGTAAAATTCTCGCATGCTGACTTTGCGGGCGTTCCGTCATCTGGCTAATTTAGCTGCAACGACTATTAACCCGCTATAAGGTCGCTTATTTTATTTATTCTTCCCCTCCCGCCTCTTCGTATCGATTGTCGTTCTATTTTCGCCTCTGGTGATTCATGTTCGGCAGAGAACGGTGTAGAAATATCTCTCGCGCTTACGTATCGAAATTTTTACTCTCGACGATCACCTCGGCCTTGTGTATCTGTTGATAAGAAGGCACGTTACGTGGCCTGGGAATACTGGGTCGGGTAGCGAAGTTGTTATTTTCGCAGAGCAGTTTCAACTTCATCGACAGCGAGTACCTTCGACACCCCTCCCCGCTAATTACGAGGTTTCAAGTTCAATAGCAATGGAAGTGCCAAGAATAAGGGTGGAAGAATAAGAGGGGAGAGCGCAGCCGCGAGGGATGGATCCAGGAAGGTTAGATCGGAGGGTGGGCGGGTCGATCGGGATTGGCTGTGGATCCTGTGGATCGCGCAGGACACGGCCGGGGCGTCAGTGTCAGGAGTCAGCCTCGAAATTCGGAAGCGTGGGTGTTGAAGGGCGGAGGGGAGATCGGGGAGACGCGCCGACGCAGAGGTGGTGGTCTCGACGTCGAGGTGTCACGGCGATATTTCGTGCAGTTAGTTGGCGCGCGGGGCCCCGGTGACTGGGACGGGAAAAGATAGGCGCTCCGTATAAAAGGAGAGACAAGAGACACAGGGACAAGAGGCAAACGAACAGGATAAATTATAAAACGGAGTGACGACCACAGAGTGACGACGACCAAGACGACCACGAAGACGACCGAAGATATTTTCATTCGTATACCTACGCGCACACCCCATTTCTTTCTTTCTTTCTTTCTTTCTTTCTTTCTTTCTTACATTTTCGCTTTTCACTTTCGAGAAATCGCGAGAAGTGCGCGAGAAATCACGTCGACGAGCCGCGAGCTCGGCACCGACATTCGACGACAGAACGTCGCGGTATAACCGCCAAGGTGCCACCAGGAATCCAGAGATAACAGGATTTTCCACGTAAATTGGATATTAAACAGCTCGCTTCAAGTAAGTTTCCCCGTTTCACACAGGCTGTGGATCCTTGATGATAAAGACAGAGGGTATACGAACGAGCGTGCGAGAGAACGGACGAAGTACAGTGCGACCCTTTTACCCAATTTCCAACCCTGCCTCCTTCTTCCTAGTTTGCCACCACGTCTGTCTGTTTGATTTATGGTGAATCGCGGGTGCTTCATTTCTGGTGCTTCAGTGCTTCAAAGTGTGTTACTACCGAGTGCCGTCCTCGTTCGTATCCCTTTCGAGATCACATTGGATCACGGTGCGTATCTGTTTTCTCGTTCTCTCGTTAAAAAACACCTTTGTTCGCTTTTCTCTTGTGCGTGTGTCGCGAAATTGCCAGTAGTTCCGGTGGTGAGGTGAACCTTCCCCACCGAATTCAGTGCTGAGGATGTAAACGCTGTATGGTAATATAAAGGATATATGTATACGCAAGTGGTATCGGTCAAGGATAAGATCGGCCTCCGAATCGTTACCGCGATCCAATTTCTTTTTTTCTTTTCGCTTCGCTTCGCTTCGAACGTGACGACCTTGACACAACAAGTTGTCCTTTCAAGAAGAAGAATGCCGTAAGGCGAGCAAGCGCCAGGCGCTAGCAGAGGGCTATCGCAAATGACCGTCGATCGGAAGCAATATCTGCTTCGCTTCGAACGTGACGACCTTGACACAACAAGTTGTCCTTTCAAGAAGAAGAATGCCGTAAGACGAGCAAGCGCCAGGCGCTAGCAGAGGGCTATCGCAAATGACCGTCGATCGGAAGCAATATCTGCGGCTGATCGTCGGAACGATCGACCGAGCGCAACGACTTGCTGACTAATTGCCACGAGTCTGCTCGCATCCAACCACCAAGAACTATTCGTAGACTACTATCTAGGTATCTAGGCTCGAAGTCTACTTATTTTTAGAAAGACGTAACGTGAGGAGGAACGGTTCGTCGTTTCATTCGGCGTTTCAACCATCTTTCCGGCTACATTTGCTTCCATTTTGCCCTTTCTCTCGTCCATCCATCGCCATCTATTTCGTCGTTTAGATTCAACCGTTTATTCGCACTTTCTGCCTTTCCTGTTTTATTACCATTTCTGTTTCCTTAAATCGATCCAGGGGGAAGAAAATTCTTCACGTACCTGATAATTTCGCGGTATTTATAAAGCTCATGGTCAGCCAACCTGAAAATTGCACCTGTTGATTGTCGGGCCTCGTTGAAATTGGCCAGAATGACTAATTCATTGTTTTTGACGTTGCTTGTCATCGTCGAATCTCGCAGGTTGATATACCGTTCGCCTGTTTTTAGCTTGATCGATGCCAGTCGTTATGTACATATATTTTTGACAGCGAGTCTGAAAGATGCATCATCGTCGTCGTACGGTGTTACGATAGATTTCGAATAGTTGGTTCGATTGGAAAAATCTCTGGTATTATTATGGATTTGAGTCAGGTTACGAAAATAGACGTTGCGACGAGAGTGATGCTGGGAAAATAGTAGTACATATAGACAGAAGAAGAGAGCGACGGAACTCACGCCTCGACTAACAATAATTATAACTTCTAGGTCGGGTTTTGTGGAGTTGGTAAGTTTATCTCGGTATTAGCTTCTCGATGACCTAATATTCTTTCCGTGCTCGTAATCCGAGACGTGAATCATTCCCTCGCGATGGATCTACACAAACTTCGCAAAGTTTCCTCCGTCGCAGACATCTTGAGACACGCAACCAATCTTTTCCCTCGAATAATCGCCGCGACATCGTTCGCTAACGATATTTTCGTCTCGTCATTGCTAAACGATCCTTCATTCATTCCATTCTTTTTATAACCGCCTCCACATTGTGCCACTTGTTATTAGGTCAGTCTGTCATCGAATATACATATAACATCGCGCGAAGACAATAAAATTATGCCAAGTGGTAGCGGGCGAAAATGTTGAGACACCGCGTGCCGCGCTATTCTCTGAACACCTGTTCGCGCATCAATCGTCGAGATCACCCTCGAAAGATCAAGATTTCAGGGCGCATCTCGCCCGAGTATAATTACGCAGAGGTGCCATATCAAACGCGATCGTTACCTTGGGTATAACGCCGAAGCGCCGATCAAGGTTGCTTCGTTGTCTTCCATTCAGAAAAATCTTCCTTACAACTAGCGACTATTTTTAAGATGGTCAACCGCGACCGACCTCCGATCTAGGCGATTGCCAAACGACCTAACGGATTCATGCACGATCGTTAACAGTTGCGATACACATTCAGAGGGATTAGTTTGGCGCGTTTGTCGGCAGATTTTCGAGAAGGTTTTTTCAATTAGAAACGCGGTTGGACGGTCGTACGACCCTTTCGATCTTCGGTCATTCCCTTCTTCACTTGGCACGCGTAGAACCGTCCTGTCAGAAGTGTATCTCGGACAAAGAGCAAAGAACTTGCCGTTTGGACAGATCCACTCGGACGGTAATTTCGTAGAGCGAAAATCTAGGTCGTTAACCCAAGGTGTATCGCTGTTTCCTTAAAAACGTTTTCCTTAAAAAGATCTACGCTTTTTCTTGGCGGGACGTCGATTGCGTCTGTCTCGAAAGCTGAACGTGTTTCTCGGTTTTCGTGTACTTTGACAGTTCAGCGCATCCGATCGAATCGGACGGAAAGGAATAGAATGAGAACGAGCGTTACGAAGCGCAACAATGTCAGGAATGTTTCGAGGCTCGTTGCCAAGTCTTACCGTGACGTTGTAACACTTGGTCCATTCGTTCTGCTTCGCGTTTCTTCGCTCCATGCTGCCACGCTTTGCTGACATTCGAACCTTAAGCCCGAGCATTAGACGGTATCTACCTTTGGCATTCTTCACGAACGCTAATCTCCCCGAGAGCAATATTCTGGATCGGAAACACTTTCGTCGGAACGTGAAATTGAAGGTTTTTTCCTCGACTCGTCAGGCGGTGTGCCGTGAATCAAACGACTACGTTTCCACGAGTAAATGCCAAACGTAATAACCGATTACCAAGATAACTGGTTCACCTATTTTCGAGCCAAGAGTTGCATTAATAATAGAGACGTTACGTCATTATTCGGCCTTGGACGTCTTGGAAAATATGTTTGGAGTCACGGATTCCACGAAAGTACCGTTTTTTCCACGGTTCGATTCGGGTGTCGCGGTTTCATTCAAGTTACTCCAATTCCCCATCGGAATAGAAGGTAGATAAGAATAACACGGGCATAACGTTCTCCCTCGAATTACATAAAGGTCTATTTTGAATTTCCCAGCAGCGATATATCATTTCTCGAATTTGGATGTAACGCGTGATGAATATAATAATTTGGCCCGCGTTACCTGAAACCTTAAAGCTAGAAAAGCCGTCCAAGCCGCAGACTAAAACCGAGGAAAATCATAAACTGTACGTTATTGCGCAGTGTCTGCGTTTGATCCCCTCGGTCCTAAAAAGAGAAATTCTGCGACCAACAGGTTCAGAGGAGGACCTTGGGAAGCGAGGAGAGAAGGACATCGGTTGGATGGTGCCGCGGGTCGGTGCCGTTTGAACCATTTCCCAAACCGACCGTCCGGATTTTCATTTGGAAAGAAGAGAGGGAAGAAAATAAGGGAGGGAAAGCTCTCGATTCCGAAGGCGAGAGGGTGGCGCGCCACCCGAGAAATTTGCGGTAAAGGGAGGTGCGAAGGCGGCCCAACAACATGGGGGTCGCCGACGATTTCGCGCCGAGCTTCACCCAGAAGCCGCAACTCAGGCAAGAGGACGACGGCAACAGACTGATCTTCGAATGTCAACTGGTCAGTTCGCCGAAACCGGAGATATCATGGTTCCGCGGGGAGACCGAGCTCAGTCCAGATTCAAGGACCAACTTCAGGATGCAGAGCATCGGGACGAACAAGTTCCTGGTCGTCTTGGAGCTCGACGACGTTATCGAGACGGACGCGGGTCTGTACAAGGTCAAGGCCAAGAACAAGATGGGCGAGGTCGCGGCTTCGATTAATCTCAATTTCAGTCGTAAGTATGATTTCACTTTCTTCCGTGTGTCCTTCGAACCGGAAATAGTCTATCCCTTTTATCGCGTCACGCGAGTATGTATTTTACTTTCTACATTCTACATGCTTTTTACTTTCTACATTCCACTCCGAGCACCGAACGAACGATTCGAAATAAAATTTCGTTATTTTCCAGCTGTGGATGAGCCTAGGGAGAAGTAAGTTCAACGCTCTTGCGATTCGAAAGACGAATCTTTTTCGCTTCTTCCAGGCTCCGCATTCTTTCTTTATTTTCGAATTAACGCTTCTTATTCATTTTTCTTTGTCGTACGTTTTCCATTGCTTTGCTTATTACGCTTCCTTTTTCTCTGTGGTTTTAGCGGCGGAAGAATCAGAGAGAGAAGGGTGAGTAGCGGTTTGACGGTTGTTCTCTGAGAATGTTCAAGAGTGACGAAGATTGCCGTGTGCTGTTTGATTTTTAGCGTAGTCTCACTAACTAGTTCCCAGAAAGGCAGTTCCCTCAGAAAGAGAGTTTGGTCGATAATGTTTAGGTGCAGATGATCGAATGCGGCTAACTAATAATAATCGGCGCGGAATGCTCGCTATTTTTGGGCGCGTTCACGTGCGCTGACGCGCGCGTCCGATAAGAGAAACCGACAATTACGGCTGTTCTAGCTGGCCGATCGCTCAGTTTTCTTCTTCTGCCCACGCACACGGGGCTGACTGTTCGACGTGGAAATAGAATCGAGTACCTCTCCTTCTCTATTTTCATTCTCGATCTTTTAACCGACGACATTTGTTCGGAGGAACGTCTGTCTATCTTCGACGCGTTCCGTCCAAACTTTTTGCCGTTAAAAAGTATTTATGCATGCACGTGACAACTCGGAGATATTTACGATCTTGGCAGATCCGATTGTCCCGTGCGACGCTCGCTCGCTAATTGCAGTTTTGTTTTACGAGATTGTCGCGCGGGGAACGAGAAGCCGTTTCATCGAATTCTCTCGAATGTCGAAGACAGGGGAGAAATTGGGTCGAAAGTTGGTTCTCTGGGGCCATGACGAGGCACTCGACGAGATGTTATATTTTCGGATCGGTTCGACAGACACGATTCCCGTGAATTTCTAAAAGTAACGCGAGCCTTTCTCACGCCCGTACCTTCCCAAATATCGAAAGACCCGGTTGCCGCTGGAATCCCACATTTTCTCCCCGTCGATCGTTCCGTCGCCACAATCCCCCCCTCGACTTTCGCAAACTTCCGAACGGGGACGAATCTCTAAAATCGACTATAGCGTTGCAAGTCGGAGGAAACAGCTGCAGCCTACTTCTTCGCTAAAGTTAGTTTCGACGTTCCTCGCGCCATCTTATTTGTTTTACACTTTGGAACGATCGCCGTGTCTCGTTTCGTTCCATTTCGTCTCTCTACTTTTTACTTCGGTCGAATGCCGACGTCCACGCGACAGACTCTACTCTAAACTAGTGCGTTCCCATGGGCGAAACGACGTAAAAGTCTGTTACAGGGACGCTGTTCGATGGAAATGAAACGTAGCCTGTACGAAAAGAGGACGTTGAACTGACGTTTCAAAGTGGCTCTCAGCAGTTTAAGCGTCTCTAAAACGAGCTATTAGAGCTAGCTCTTCCTGCTAGGTAACAACGAGGCCACAGTATGATACCGCTCATTCGTAGACTTAACGTCTAAACAAAACAAATTTCAATTCTACGCCGAATTTACCGAGCGTACGGTTTCTCTGTTTAGCCAACTCCACTTCTATCTTTGCCCCCGTCTTATGGAAAGAAACATTCTTGGTGAACGCAGAACGTTCTACGCCGCCGAGTCTCGAGTTTCCGCTCGTCTGACCAAACATCGTCCTGTTCTACTAATAACCGGCCATTGCTGTCCGCTAACACTGCAACGTCGTTCTTCACCGATCTAACAGAGAATACACCTACACCTATGTAGCGATGGTTTGCCGTGTGATATTTTTGCAGACGAAAGCGATACTTTTCGATTCGACGTTAAATTTTCACTCACGCTTGCAGACAAATCGATGGAATCGCGCCAACTTTTGCGAAAAAGCCCGCTATTCGACAAGAAGACGATGGAAAACGATTACTTTTCGAATGTCGTATCACAGCCGATCCCACGCCAAAAGTAACGTGGTTTCACGATGGAAATATGGTCAAAGATTCACCGAGGCACAAGGTTCACACCTTCTCACTTCGCCCTTCTGTCACGCTCCCTATCCATCTGCGTACTCACCGGCTGTTCAATTTCAGCTCACCGTCGACAAAGACGGCCACTCGTACTTCGCGACGTTGGAAATAAAAAATGTGACCGTCGAGGATGCTGGCAAATATAAGGTCACCGCGAAGAACGAGCTCGGCGAATCTAACGCTACTATTTCCTTAAATTTCGACAGTAAGTACCACGTAAAATCGTCAAAGCCTACCGCTGTCCATGTGTTCATTCAACAACCGACGGTCAAGTTTACATTTGTTTGCTCTCGCTTCATTTCTTTTTAACACCGCTTCCAACACACACTTCCAGTTCGCGCGTCTACGATTGTATGTTTTATTCCGTAGATACGTACAATTATCGTTGGAGAACAAATGTAAACTAGCTCGCCGTCATTTACCTCTCCATTTTTCACTCTTTCTACTTATTAGGGGTGTATATCGGTGATCCTCTATCTTCGACTCTACGTCTGTTCTTTTTCTCTCAACGTCTATCCTACTTCATGTCTCTCTTCATAGACCTTCTCTCACTTTTATTCTTTATTTTTTCTCTTCGTCCAGCCTGTTCTCTCTTCTTTTTCTTTCTTTTTTATCTCTTTGTCCATATTCTGTCTCCATCCGTACGTGTGACATTTATTTTTTAATGATTTGTCTCGGTCGAGCAATGAGCACGTATCGATTGTCGGCTCGACGGAGCGACGATATACAGCCCGACGTAATTTCTACTTTAATCCACTTTAAACTAAAAGGTAAAGGAAAATCGTCTCGCGTAGATTGCAAATCAAACAATGATTAATCCGCTGCTTAAATCGTACATTAATTACGCGATTGGCATTCCACGCTTTCGATCCGTGGGAAAAGGTACGTTCGGATCGATGCGTGAAATGCGGATCGCCTCGTGCTGACGCTTCGTTAGGTTGCCACAATCACGAACATTTCTATCTCTTCATCGCCGTGTGAATCATTGACGTAACACTTGTCACGCGATAAATACAGCAGCGATTGTTATAGACGCACGCACACATACTCATGCGTACGTTCAGGTGTGTTTGAAACTTGACCGTAACTGAAGAAACGTAGATTTACCATTGATCGAACTCGATTTAACTCGCTTAACCATTTATCGCGCTTACTAAGAAGTTGATGGAGTGGTAACGAGAATGTAAATAACAGAAACGCAACGTTAGACTATTTCCATACGTCACGATGACATCGTTCCAACGTACGAAAATAAGACGGTAACAAAAAAGCAACACGTGCCTGACGGTGCAAACAAACACAAGGACGGTAAAAGAGCAACCTAAGTTAGGAGACGTCGCGTCGCGGTTTTATAGGCGGAACGGAGTAAGCAATTTCGAGGTAAAGAGTGCAAGTGTGGGACACGGCGAAAAAACTGGAATCGATACGTAGCTCTGACCTTGGATCGAAGGGCTTAAACCTTCCGCAACCAGGTTGAAGTGGTTCGTTTGATCGATCGCTAGACCAGATGCGACAAGGCTGCGAAGGGATTAAGCGACAGCAAAGATATTGTAAAGAGGAATTGTCGAGACGTAGATCGTTTGTATGAACATAGGCGACGAGGCGCCCGTACCTGACGACGGTATTAAACCGACATTCACCGAACGACCGGTGATAAGGCAGTCAGACGACGGTAACACCATCACCTTCGAATGCCGATTAGTCGGCGACCCGAAACCAAGTGTCAAGTGGTAAGATTACCGTGCAAGCATGCATTATACGGAAGTACGTCGAGACCACGTAGAAACGATACCGGCATCTCCCTTACGATAATAATTAGTCCCACCTTTAGAAAATTGTCCCGTACTTCCGATCGCGTTGCCGTTCGAACGCACTTAGCATGCATCATCGTTTCACGCGCACCAATTAGGTATCACGGTAACGAAGAGGTGAAAGAAGGCGGAAGATTCAGCATGTCGCTGGAACTCGATCAGAAGCTGTACCACCTCGCGAGGTTAAAGATCGACAGCGTGGCGAAGGGCGACGCCGGGGAATACAGAGCGGTCGCGAAGAACAACCACGGCCAGGGAGTGGCGACGATTAACTTGAACTTCGAGGGGGGTGACAAGCTAAAGTATGCATCGGCGGTACTTCGAGCCGGGTGGCCGTCACGTTCCTACATTTCGACCTCGACGAACCTCCAAGTTTTTCGTTCCTTTGCACGAAATAGGCCGAGATTACGTATATGTAGAAAGAGAATAAGGTAAGAGAGGATAGCGCGAAACAGCTTGGAGGGAACTTGGACATTTGGTAGGGACGCGACGAGCCGTAGGACTCGAAGGACGAATTCATCTTCGGGCGAAGATTGAATCTCCGGAGAGAACCCAGCCCCGTGTGTCTGACGTATCGATTTACGCAGAATACCAGACGGTAAACCACCGCGTTTCCCAAAGAAGCCGACTATTCGACAAGAAGGGGACGTGTTGATTATGGAGTGTATCTTGGAAGCGTATCCGGTACCGGACATCACTTGGTACCAGGGCCAGAAACCGATCACCGACAGCAAACGCGTCAAGATGTCACGCAAGGCGACTGGAAAGGACGCTTATTTGCTCACGCTCGAGATCTCGAATCCGACCAAGGCCGACGGCGGAAATTACCGATGCAACGCGTTTAACAACTTTGGCGAGAGTAACGCCAACATCTCCCTCAACTTCCAAGGCAAGTCCCTCTCGACGAAACAAACTGCACGGTTCTCGTTCGCACCTCCCCTACCTTTTCCATACTTTCACTTTCCAAACGACCGTCCTTTCTCTTTTCGAACCCCTGAAACCCCTGTCTTCTGCCTTTTCCCCTACCAGCACGTTTCTCCCTGTCGAGATCGAGTTCGGCGATTAATTCTCGAGAAATTAGGACACCTACCCGCGCGAAACGTACAAACGCGTTAAGTCTTGTCGTCCTTTCTGAGAGAAGGTAAGTGTGTCTTGTGTTATCGCTCGCTAATCACAGAGTCCTTCTCTCGTTGCTTCTTAACCAGCGCGAATCCCGATCTGAATTCTCCAACAGATTCGAGAATTCAGTGGAGGATCGAAAAGCAGAAAACTAACGTATCATCTGTAATAGTTTCATTAACGCGAAACGAACAAAACGGAATCCTTCTTGACTCGGCCCTATCGCGATTTTCCAAGTCGACCATTTCGTGGAAAATCGCGATCCGGCTATGTCACTTCCGGTCCCCGATAGCCGGAAGCTGACGGTCTGCTCGCGACCGTGCTTAACCTCGGATCTTTCCAAGATGCAGAAGAAGGGCCTGGTTTCGCACCGACGTTCGTCGAGAAACCCCGCATCATTCCGAACGAAACCGGCACCTTGATCACGATGAAGTGCAAATGCAAGGCGAATCCGAAACCAGAAGTCACGTGGTTCCGTGGGAGCAACGTCGTCAAGGAATCTTCCAAGATTTCCATCAAGACGAAAACTGTAGAGGAGGATGTTTACGAGTTAATTATGGAGATCAAGGTATGTAAGGAAACGAAGAACCACCAAAGGACGACGGATATCGAACGGAAATATTTGCAGGATCCGTCAGCACCGGACGGTGGCACTTACAGGTGTCACGTGAAGAACGAATACGGCGAGAGCAACGCTAATCTGAACCTGAACATCGAGGCCGAGCCGGAACCGGAAGGTGACGGTCCGACCTTCGTCCAGAAACCGCGCATTCAGTCCCAGGATCAGGGGAAACTCGTAATCATGGATTGCAAAGTGAAAGCCAATCCGAAACCCGAAATCGTATGGACACACGCCGGCAAGGTGGTGAAGGAGTCCTCCAAGATCTCGATCAGCGTCGTTCAAGAGAAGGAGGATATCTATTACATCAAGTTAACCCTCAGCGATCCAGGACCCGAAGATTCTGGCTTGTACAAGTGTAATATTAAAAACGCTCTCGGTGAATTGAACGCCAATCTGACGCTGAACGTTGAAAGTGAGTTCGATGCTCGATATTCTTACTCTACACATGTATATTCGAAACACTCGTTTATCTATTATCCTTTCAGTTATACCTGTGATCAAGGAAAAACCAAAAGTCATAAAGATCGTGAAGAAGAGAACCGTCGTGGTCGAGTGTCACGTCCTTTCCAAGTTTACGCCAGAATGTACTTGGTTCAAGGAAACGCAAGCAGTGAAAGAAGATACAAGGCATAAAGTGCACGTGGAGCAAGTGAAGGAAGGAGAATTCGCTGTGAAATTAGAAATCGAGCAAATCACATCTTCCGACAAGGGTACCTACAAGTTAGTGGCTCGAAACGAGAAAGGAGAGGCAACGTCCCAGGTCGTGGAGGTGACGGAGATTATGGAAGAAGGCGAGAAACCAAAGATAGTATCCGGCTTGAAGTCGGCGGTATGTTTTACAATATTTCGTAGCTCTCTGTGCTTGCATTCCAATTTGGAAACACACCTCTCGAACAAATACGCGTGATCGTTGTGTTTCAGACGATCGAGGAAGGTAAATCGATCGAATTTATCGCCAGCCTTTCCAAGCAAGATCGCAAAGTTACTATCACGTGGTACAGGTGAATAAATTGTTTGAATTGACCGTAGTACCAGTTAAACGCTGCCACCTCCCGCAAATTCGTTCAGATCTGATGAATTCTTTTCAACTTCTGCAGAGATTCTACGGTAGTGAAATCTGACAAAGATATTATGATATCCTTCAATGGTACAGACATGAAAATGACCATCACGTCTGCTTCTACTTCACACTCGGCAACCTACAAAGTTGTTGTCAGCAACGAATTCGGTCAAGATGAATCGTCCGCACGGCTCGTCGTCAAGGTATGAAATTCGAGATTGAACGGCATTTTCTATCATTTCCCCTACTCTTTCAATGTTACACCGTTCGTTACGTTGCGTGGTGAAACGTTAAAAATCCCCGATGAAATTTGTCGTTCGAACAAGTGTCCCCCCTTTGAAATCTTGTGCTGTCCAAAATTCAATTCACCCGGGAACAATTGTTGAAAGTACGATACAGTATGTACCCTTGAATGTTGCATGCAATTCCTTGTCCGTATTGTAGAAAAAGGAGGAAAAGAAGAAAGAGGAGGAAGAGGAAGAAAAGAAGAAGAAGGTTGAAAAGAAGGAGGAAAAGAAGGAGGAAGAGAAGAAGGAGGAAAAGAAGGTGGAAAAGAAAGAAGAGAAGAAGGAGGAAAAGAAAGAAGAGAAGGTATCGAATACTGTTGTTGTCCTACTTGTAATATTTTGCCACTATCTAAATGACTTCTCTCCCTTGCTGTTTGTCCACCCTTTCTCCAACTGCGTAAATACCCGTAATTAACACGTGCTACACTTATCTTTCACGTGTACACTCAGACATATCATCACACAGACAAACACAAAATGATACTTGTAACAGTAACTGCAAAGAAAGCTGCGTTTGTTTTCGTACGCGCGACAATTCGGCTCTTTTGAAATGCATTTCGATATTGCGATGCGAAAGGTAAAAAATTCGATCTGGAGCGACGACGAAGGAAGCGTCCTCGAAGAGGACGACGAAGAGGAAGAGGCGGAGGAGGAGGAAGTGGTGAGTGTAATCGAGTCCAGCATCGCGGAGCCGATTATCGAAGAACCAGACTCAGAAACAATTTCACAAGTAGAGGTACACACATACACGCTACACGTGCTTACACAAACATACGTATACCTTTCAATTTTTTTTTTTACCAAGGACCGTCTTTTTTGAAACGCAAAAATTTATCAGCATTTTTTCCGATTATTTTCAAGGACAAACCCGACAACAGACCGAATGGTATCGACAAACCTGGTTCTAAGAAGGTACGAACAAATTCTTTTTCAACCTGGAGATTATTACTTCTACAAAGTAATCGAGAATTTTTCAATTTTTTACTTTACACCACGTATACATTTATAAATACAAATTACAAAAGCACATTACCCTTTGTGCACAGCCCCTTCGATCCCTTGTGGTTGTTACGTTTGCAAATGCTTTGTGCTCCCTCCGTTTTTATCACACCCACGTCGCAAGCAGGCAAACAACCGGGATGAATTAAAATATTATTCAACGTTGTTGATAATGTGACGAATATTGACGCAACTGTGTACTTTTCTGTTGCAGAAATTGGAAGTTTTACAGGTGAGTGAACAGTATCGAACATGTTATCTGGATAAAGTATGCGCTCGAATTATTATCGGACCGGCTTTTCGATTGCTTTGCGAACAATTCGTCGACACGGCTTTTACGCGTACGTTGCATATTTCCATCACATTTTAGCGAGATAACGCATGAATTTAACGAGCACAATTATTTTTTCAGCTTTTACTGGATTAAGAACTTGCAAATGCTTTTATTAACGAACTTTCTCATGTTTCTTATTTTTCAGCGATAACCATTTTTATCCTCAAGATTTGCGTTAAGATGCTTTTAATGCTGCTTTAAAATTTCTTTCTTTCAGCAATATTATTTTATGTTTCGCGCACAATACGCATAATACTTGAGCTTTTAGCAAAACTTTTATTACCCTTACCCTAGAAGCTGGGCTATGTATACTTCCTTGAAAATTTCACTTCTCTATCCTTTCTCCTTTCTTTCTCTTTCGCTTTATTGACTGCATGCTTTCTCGCTGTGTTTGATTTTACAATGTAGAGTTTTATTGTTACGCATTTCAGCTTATTTATAAAGATATTACGCGAAGATATATGTGAAATTGTGCATAGTATGAAAAAATTGTATGCAATTTTGATAAAGGAAGGCTTGTAAAGGTGAGAATGTTTTACTTATATCGTAATAATTAACAAACGGGCTGATATCGTGTTATCTTTGTGTAGAAGAAACCAGAAGAAAAGAAAGTCGAAGAAAAGAAGGAAGCTGAAAAGGTAATTATTTTAAAAATCAACACTGAACAATTGGAACGCGCAAATTCTATAATTCAACCGAATCAAATTTGTTTTCACAGAAGAAAGTTGTGAAGAAAGAAGAAGAAAAGAAGGAGGTAAAGGTACGGTTTCCTTTTAATTGATTACCTTTGTTTGAATACTTCAATATTTTTGTCGTCTCTACGGTTCAATTCTCCATATTCCAGGAAGCCACGTTGAAAGCGGAAAAAATGGTATCTCGCAAACAGTCTATCAGTAGAGTAAGTGTGATAATTTTCTTGAAAATATTGGCAAAAAGAATTGGTACTAATTTATTTCTGTTTCTTTTTCTTTAATTTCACAGATAGAAGAATTACGGACGGAAAGCCGACGAAGTTCTCTGGTGTCGACCGAAGAAAAGGTTAAATATCGTTCGCTTCTTAATAAACGTAGCTAGGAAGTGCAACCGTTCGCTTCGCAAAAATCCCCGGCTGTAGAAATCCAACAGTTTATTTATTTATTTTTTTATCCTCTTCTCTTAATACGTAGATGCTCGATGATGGCCGCAGAACCCCGCGACGCTTTTCTATCCAAAAGGTACACGAGTACTGAATAACAGTTAAGCTTAAAATAAGTAACATCTACCCGTGGATACCGTTGATATTGAACGATTGCAAAAGTTCGTGCCCGATTTTCAAAGGTGGCGAGAACCTTATCGATTCCTATCGAAAGATACACCGCTTGTGTTTCATTTTCAAATAATTATTCATTTCATTCCATTTCAGTTTCAAATTAAATCTGCTCTTGTTCTATAATACTTTCAAATCGGGCACGAACTTTTGCAATCATCCAATATTATGTTAAAGAAATTTCAACGTTTTCCATTCTTCTGATATCTGATAACTTTATTTCTATGTCTAATCAGACCGAAGAAGAAGTCAAGACGGAAAGCCGACGGTCTTCCATTGTCGAAACGAAAGTGTCAGCAGAAAAGGTAGGAGAAATGTTTCATCTCCTTTTATTCTTTAGTAATTAATACACGCAAAGGATTATCGTGTTTGTAAACAATTGAAAGGACAAAATTGTTGTTACGGACAGGAACAGTAAGTACCACGTGTGATGTTTGACCTTCTTGCAAACGACACAAGAAGGCTCGTAATATCTAGTACTTAGTGTTTTTGTGGTATGCGTGTACTCATACGATTGTTCCATCCAAGAAGAGGTTCGTAGGAAGGAGAATTAGAAGGAAACGTTAAGCACACAAAAGTCGTACTTTTCGAGAAAGAAATTTTCTAATTTGTTCATTTTCTTTCTTTTTGTTTTATTTATTTTAAATTTCTAGGTAGATAAAGTGACTCCGATGTTTAAGCCTGCATTAACACCAACACAATACACAAAGGTACACGAAACATTACATCTTCACCTTACGATTTCATTCATAGTATTCGTGTAAAACATAAAACTCGTGGCAAACATTAAAACACGCGTTATCCTGTCATTGTAGATTCTACCAAAAGTGAATGTTAAACATTACGAACCGGAATCTAGCGATGAAATAGAGGTAAATTATTCGTCGAAAAGTGTACGATTTAATGTTACAGTTAGAGATAGAAATACTTACGAAAAATCGCATTTGTAGGATATTTGGGCCTCGGTGGCAAAAGAGCCTGAAATAAGATCCATTAGAAAAAAAGAGGTACACGATGTTGATTTTATAAAGTTGAAACTTGCAATTTTTAAGTGATACAACGACTAACTAATTGTACTTAAATATAATTGTAGGACACTCCAATCGTAAAACGTTTATCTATTACGCAGAAATCTCGTGCGATACCCAACGCTGAGGTAGATATCGTTTCTATAAACTGTCGTCGCGTTAGAGTGGTTTTTTCTATTTCTCTTTAACGTGTAAAATTCTTTATAGAAAAAGCCACAACCAGATCACGCTAGACGCGACGAATTGCCAGTTGTTAAACACGAGGTATAATACACAACGAACGAACTAATTCTTTAATTACCTCTTTCGAATTCTTTCTTACTCATGGAGATGTAATTTTAGGATGCACTCACCGCATTACACAAGCCTACACCACATTCACGCAAACCTAGTAAAGCAATCGAGGTACACAATTTACGATATAGTTAGAGATTGTAGTTACTAAATAAGAGTAATTTTAGGTTTCCTCTGAATCACGACCTAGTGCACGCGACAAGAAATTAACCAGAAACGGCGAGGTACACAACTCATCTGCTATTAATTCTTTCGGTCACGCACAATCATCTTACCTTAAATATCCTCTTTGTTTTATTATAGGATAAGACAAAATCTAAAGTTAATTCGCGATTACACGAACCGAATGACGAAATAGAGGTAGATTATTATTATTTTTTTTTTTTGTAACGTACAAGCGCCGCATTAAAAAAGCAGTATTAAGAGGTGAACAAATTCTAGGACATTTGGGCGGGTAGACCGGAGGATTACGAAATTAAATCCATAAGAAAGATAGAAGCACAGGGTATACCAATGACAACAACTAAATCATATGTTCAAGAACCGAAAGATGAAATAGAGGTAGCTTTTATGTTTTTCTTGTTTTTTATTCGTGTAAAATTCTGCTCAAAATTTATGCGGATAAGTGTATAAATTTATCGGGTGTATAATTTATAGGACATCTGGGCAGATAGGCCACAGGAACCTGAAATTAAATCTATCTGGAGAGAGGTAGATAATCACTTTTGAGAAATACGCGTTCGTTCGTTGACAATTTAACAAACAAACATTTAATCATTTTAGGCACCACAAAAAACTATCACAGACTTATCGCAAACACAGTACACAGCTGCAAAGGTACATACATACACACATATGTACATACATACATATATACATACGTCGTAAATCTATCATTGTAATATATTAATTTAATTTTTTTTTTTTTTTATATCAAACGAACACATTTTAGGATACTGGCGAACCGAATCTGAACGAATCGAACGACAAACCTGACACGTTGAAAGATAAATCAGAAACACCGTTACTAAAGTCGACCGACAAAGTAGAGGTAGAAGAGCAAAGATTTTCTCATATTTGTTAACGCGTGAACACTCGAGTAAAGAGTATATTCTTTTAGGAGGTGACTAAACCGAAAGTTAAAAAAATTCGTAAAAAGACTGAAACGGATAAGGTACATGTACTCGTCTAATTTTCGTGCAAATTAACACGATAAACAACATAAATATACGACACGCAACGTTACCTCGATATTATTTTGATCATTTTAGAAAGGGGAAGCGAAACCGAAATCTACCTCTCGCAAACTTGACGATGCGAGCAAGGTATTTTTGTTTATTTTATTTTTTGTTTTTAATCATTCAAATCGTCGAACACACACGAAGCACGTTAAAAATTTTTTTCTTTCATTTACAATTTTAGAAAAAAGAACCAATCAAAAGACGTAGGTCATCGGCAAAATCAACGGAGGGGTCTAAGGTACAGGGAATAGAGAACAAAATAGTTTATAGCATCTCACGAATTTGTCGCAGTTCTTCCATTTGTTTATATTTCATTTTTTATTTCTTGTACTTGTTATTCATTCGTATGAATATTATCCAGGACGGAAAGCCTACGTTAGATTCAAAGCAAAAGGATACTATTCCCAACGACGTGCAGGTATGTAAATCTGTCGCTTCGATTTTCACTAATTCTACCTGTTGGCTGTGCTAACGCAAAGATTGGGACGAGCAACGTGTAAATCTGATTATTTCCATAATTTTGTAGAAGAAGGAAGTCGTCGCTAAAGCTAAGATCGTCGGGAAGGAAGAGAAGAAGGTAGCCAAGCCATCACCAGTTTTATTACTATACATATACTTTTTTTCACACATATAGACATCGTTACGAACATATCATGTAAACATATTACACGTTAAATTCACGTCCGTTCATTTTAGGAGGAACTCAAACTCACGTCCAAAGTAGAAGAATCTAAGGTAGATAGAATGCATACAACAGATGTAATAAATACACTGTACATTAATCTTGGCCATTCAGACATGTACCTCACACTGTACGATTGATTTTTAGAAAACAGAACCCTCGAAACCACAGACCACACTCGGTAAACCCGAGGAGCCTAAGGTACACAGTACACACAATTTTTGCCTCCTATAACACGATACAGTACCTTTTTTTTTTTTTTTAAACATTATCGACAAGTTCGATACAAGAGACTGTTAACTTCTAGAAAGAGGAACCTGCCCCGAAACCCAAGACTCTCCTCGGTAAACCCGAAGAGGCGAAGGTACAGAGCAATACGTTATACCTTTTTTTACTTTTTTTCGCCTACACATTTTTCGTTACGAACACTGCTCCTGACATTTTTACCTTTTTATTTAGAAGGAAGAACCTCCTGCGAAACCTAAGGCCACACTTGCTAAACCTGTGGAGGCAAAGGTAGATAAGAACGCGTACACCTTACTTTTTTTACACGCAACATTTTTATCTACAAGTTGCAAACACACGAACACGTATAGTCACGTTAATTGCTTTTTTAGAAGGAAGAACTGCCTATTCTGAGAAAGACCACGCTTGGTAAATCCGAACAGCTGAAGGTACACGAATACATACTTACGACAGACGAAATTATCGCACAGATCAGAAAATTTTTCACCAGCGTGTCGATCATGTAACTTTTCTACCTAAACTTCTCATTTCGCGAATTAAACGAATTTCCTTTCAGCAGAGACTAAGCTGAATCGTCATACTTCGCCGTGTAACAACTTTTTTTTTCAGCCACCATTATGATTGTATCACCGTAACCAGAAATACATGTAACAGTTCATCGAATTACAGTTTGTCACGAATCATAATTAGCAAAATTTGTCGAAGCTATTTTTCTAATTCGATTTTTCCTGTTCTCCTTCGCAGACGGAGGAACAAGCAAGGAAGCTCAGTCTGAAAGCTGGAGTAAAGGTAAATAGCAGTGACACGCTGGATGGACCGATTGCCAATTGATTCATCTGAACGAAACCGTTGTTTTTTTTTGAATTACAGATCGAGGAGGAGGCGAAGAAGTTGAACAAGGTGGAACTTAAAGTGAGTACCGTCTGGTTATATCGAATAAATTGCGTATAATTAACAGAACGATTCGTATACTCGGTACTGCTTGTGAAATAGTTCGATTATGCTCGAAATTGGCATCGATATTTAGTGGTTGGAAATTCTTTCAAACAAACGATGTATTGAATACAGCCAGTGGAAACGAAGACGAGCAAGGAGAAATCAGGACTACGTAAACCACCGAAATACGAAATTAAAGCCGAGAGCTTTAAGTTCGTCCAACTTAAACCGGTTCGAAAGGAGCCTAAACAGCCTCAACAGGCTGAAAATGGCACTGTGTTTGAGTTAAAGGTATTCCCGTGAAAGGGAATCTAAATCACACGTATATTCTCTCTCTTACTTATTTCCCACGAAAGACGTATCTTTCTCCTAATTTCTCATCACATATTCTTTCTTACAAAATCAACTTCTTCGCACTATCAAAATTCGTTCCTTTCGTATCTTTCTTCTCGTACTATACTCTTCTTCTTCTTCTCTGAAAACTTTCTACGCTTCGTTCTTATTCTGGATGTCGATAACAATGATATAACGTACTGTTCACTTCTCAAGACTCTTTCCAATTTCTCCTCACTCTCGCAAAATCTAAAAACTCGGCAGATCGTTAACAAAACTGATTAATTCAAGAATCTGCCAAATATCTCAGCTGGCTGTTTATTAAAAAAAAATATCTACTCTTCGAATGGGATCTTCTAATGCTGAAATCAATGTTCTATCTAGTGATGGGACTGACGACGAGTCCTACTTCAGCTACTGTTTGTTACAAGATTATCCCGATTAATGTAAATGTGACGTACCTTTAAATTTCTATTTTAACTATGTACATATCTTATTATTGTATCGGTCCCATCGCTAGTTCCCTCTATCGCTCTTTTACGAACATCTTTCGCACTCGTTGTACGACCGAACTTGAAATTAATCTACACTTGATGAAACGCGCAGAAAGTCGAGAAGGTGGAAAAGACGGAAGCTAAGAAAGCGAAAACGACGAAGGGCGCGAAGGAGAAGAGTTACGAGCTTCCGGAGATCCCAGATTACGAACGACCAGTTCTAGAGAAGCCACAGGAATTCGATTTCGGCGATCGTGCGCCTCGAGACAAAACCAAGCTCGAGAGACCTGCCACACAGGTAAGCGTTACACGTTACACGTAGTGCGTACAGTTTAAACTGAGAAATTGAACTGGATTCGACTAATCTCGTGTTTCTTTTCTCGGGGCGAGAGTAGAAGTTCGATTCTAAGGTGAGTAATAACGGTTGGTTACTAATACGAGAATAAGAAAAGGATTTTGCCAAATTGCTGCTTCGCTTTACGTCAGAAACTGTAAGAATTTTGCAACGTCTAGGCTATAAGTACGGTCCGATCGAGGCTCGTGAAAGGTTTCGCAAGCAGAGATATGATCGAAAAGGATCGCGGCAATTATACGATCTTTGTGCGTCCGATCGTTCTCGGGCGTGCATTTCGAGTTCCAGAGATAGGCGTCAGAAATAGGCGGTAGAGCATTAAATCAAAAGAGCGATGATTGTCCTCGGCGATTCCTTGGGCACTAATATTAATGAAAATTCGCGATCCCAGGGTCGCGCGAGATGCGGTGCGGTGACACGAAATCCTTGCAGGCAGATTGGCAAGGGGTCTTGGTCTAGCTTCGTCTACTCGTCGAAGATCCCCGACGCAAATATAGTATTCTCTCGTAATCCTGCACAACCGTAATTAACGCAACACGGTCTCGTATACCAGAGCTAATGATCGAACCGAACCGAAGAAAATCACCGTTTGGCAACCAATGATTCTCCCCCGTTCGCCGTTTCTACCACCACCTCTCTACGTCCGGATACTTGACGATAGAGGGGGAACTATTTTGGCAAATAACTGCTCGTATATCACCCCCCTTTGGATCCCTGATTTTTCGTCTTGAAAATTAGGATGGAGAAAATGTCGATAGCTATTTTCGGTGTTATTGCGTCCCGCCCGTGCCCGACCATATCTCTTCGCTTTGATTTCTCCCGAGCGATTCGATTCAGTCTTAATCTTCGTACGATCGCGATCACGTCCTACAAGTCCAACACCACCGCGAACTTTTTAACCATTTCGATTCTTGGTAAATTCGATCGTTACCTTACCTCCTCTTCTCCTTTCTTTCTCTTTTTCTCTTTCTTCTTCTTTTCTACCAACTTCTCCTTTTTGCAAATTCTTCTCGTTTCGATACGCACCACTCGACGGACGAGAATGCTTTAGCGATCGATTGCTTATTTTCCTCGAGTTTGAAACGCAACCATGTTTGTCTGATCGTTGGTTTTCTCGTGATCTTAGCCAAAGGTGCCAGAAATCAAAGCACCCGAGACACCGAAGATCGAAGTGATCAAGGACGTGACTCCAGCGGGAAGTAGAAAGAGCTCGCTCGTACCCGGTAGTGGCACGACCAGTCGACGGGGTTCCTTGATACCGCCGGAAGAATTGGGTCGCAGACCCAGTTTGATTATCAGTGACGAGGTATGTTACCAGCTGTGTTTCTCCAAGGTATATCTACTACACTTTTTCGCAAATCGAGTGACCAGCTGCAACGGTGTCGTACTTTCACGCGTTATTCTTCGTCGCGAGTTGGGAGTGTATTCGACGATACTCTCGCCGATCGATATCGTTGCAGCTATATTCCGCGAAGAAGTGCAAAGCGATTTGTTCCGGAGGGGTTCCGGAGTTCGTCCAGGCGGCGGAAGATGAGATTTTTTGGATCGGTAACGAATTTTATCGTGAAATTCGTTAATCAAGGTCTCTTTGTCAAATTGCCAAGCAATGTTCTTAATAGCCCGTGATGTCTAATACCTTCCCAAAAATAAACGCGTTCGGGCCTATTTTCGTGCAATTACTCATTACTAATTTTTGATTCGCGGTAGGCAACTGGGCGTGTCGAAAATGTGAAGTCGGTGATACATCATAAACGACGACGGACAAACCTTTGAAAGGTTCCGAAATCTGTAACGTTTCGACCCCGGTCCAAGTTGGCTGGGAAAAGTAACGGAACAAATCGGCTAACGTTTCGAGCGGAACACTCGCTGGTTACTCGCGGTCTCGATCTCTTCTTTCCAAGTTCGATCGAAGTTCCCATCGAATCTGATAAAATTGAGGTCGAGAGTAACCAGGAAAGCACGTAAACGAAGTTTTGAAACCTAGAAAAAGGTTAGCTCCTGTACAGAACTAGATAAAAGCGTAGGTAGAACAGTGGCTACTGCTGGTTAGCCCTAGAATTGTGGGAGTTCTTTTTTTGAGTTCTGTAGCAAACGTCGATGATTTAGTGATCCCAATCGTGATAGTCTTAGAGCTAGTTGTTGAATCACGTGAACCCCCGACGCGCGTTTCTCTGGCAACGATGAAACGACGTGTCGGGTGTGACACGTTGATATTAGTGTCAGCAAAGCTAGTACATAGCATCCTACTCGTGAATCGTCCAAACAGCCCAGCTTCTGAAAAACCACACTCCCCCTACCAAAAAGCCCTTCTTTTCGTCTTTCGCGAGACAATTCTAGCGACGAGTCCACGTGAAGAAAATTTCAACGTGGAAAGGTAAAGGCGAACTTAGGAAGAGTAAAAGAAAGCGTAAGGATGTTCTTCGTTGCACGAAGAGGTGTATAGAAAATAAGGCGTGTACGTAGACGCACAGCGACTTTCCAAACGACCACGGATTAGTAAAAGACAATTTGATTCGTAGGAGAATAGAAAGCTGCGACCTGGCGAGGTGGTGGACGAGCGCAAGGTGAGAAAAATCACTGAAAATGGAAAAGCGAATGCCTCGTCTGCAACCTTACTCGACTACCAATGCACTTGTTTCACTTGTTTCACTTGTTTCACTTGTTTCACTTGTTTCACTTTCACTGGCACGTTATTTCTTTCACACACACACACACACACACACGTACACACAAATACCACCTATTGGAACTTTGAACGAAGAGATCACTGGCACGTTATTTCTTTCACACACACACACACACACACACACGTACACACAAATACCACCTATTGGAACTTTGAACGAAGAGAATCTCCACGGATATTTGATCTTTCGCAGTAGTACGTATCAACGATATTTCAGCCTCTTCGTTCAAACCTGCCTGCTCACCACTCTCTATCTTCTACTGCCAATTTACTTACCGAGATTACATCCGTGAGCTCGCGCCTATCGAGCACGTCGATTTTTCCTCGCGTCGAATGAATTATAAATCGGATTATAAATCGAATCGAAATGGAAAATGCGTGGATCGGGCGCGAGATCATTGCCGCGAGCCGAGGTTTCCGTGGAAACCTCCGCTCGGTGTTGTCTCCTCTATAATTTAATAATTATTCACGTTGAAACATGCACCATTGCACCGTTGCACCAACGCACTACTGCACCTGGCACGGATCTGTTGCAAACGAGTCTATCAGCACTGTATATTCGATTATTGATCACGAACACCATTTAATATTAATACCGTAAGAATGTTAGTATTAATAATAATAATAACAACAACAACAACAACAACAACAACAACAGCCACACTAGAGCAACGACAAGAGCAAGAACCGTTGGTGTTACAAGAGCAACCACAACGGTCACAAGAATAATAAGGAAAGAAGTATATCGGAGGCGTGTCTGGCGCGAAACGAACATTCGGCCGATCTTAAATCATCGGTGTATAAGGTTTCGAATTCTCTCTGGCACAGATCGCCGCTCGTAGATTATATTTTGGCAAACATTGTCCCGAAAGGACAGGCATCGGCGTTAACAAATGCCTAGACAAGCGACAAACATTTACGGCACGTGAATCGTGACTACTCACGAAGACACCACTGACGTTCGTGTATATATACACGGTT